CCAATTCCACGGAATATTCCTCTTGAGTCTCATTCGTGTCGTTCAGTGATAGGACGCCGGGATTCAGGAGACATATCGTGATAAGTGCTATAAATGTCCGCATTTTTCAAGATATTCTTCGAGATATCTGTCGATAATATTAGAGTAAAACTGTGGTAACAGTTGTCGTTATAACACAATATAACAAATGCTTGAAATAGTGTGTGATTTTTGAATCCTTTGTAAATCTCGCGATTCAAATGAACCGTAAGTTAATCACGAGATTAGCCAACATTTGCCTTAAATATTCAAAATGCTATACAATTCACACTAACCGTCAGTTTTGACAGAACTGTAAAATTTAGTGACAGTCTTGGGATCCGTTTAATAGACAGACAATGAGTTCAGTTGTCATAAAACGCATACTTTTATTGTCTGAGATCTTCTTTACTTGTGATGATCTGAACGCCAGACTCCCGACAGACCACCCATTGATAGACAGACATATAGACAGCACCGGATCTGTACGGACACAGCACTGGTATGTATTCAGACATCACTTGTTATATGACTTATTCGTTATAATGAGACAAATGTGAAAACTATTCATATGTTTTTGTGTCCATTAGTGCCAACCATTGGATGAGTTGGTGGACCATAAGAGTGAGTATAACCGACGGATTGTCTACTGTCTGAGGAATGGCATCCATTTGTGGATCAGTTTTGTGATACTTTACCGAAGAGTGCGATCTATGAGACTGTCAGCTGTCACTTGAATGTCGTATTAATAGCACTCCTTCACGACCACAACTACCCGTCCCATCACTTCATCCGCTCTGACCACCAGTCAGGACACGAGTCACTCCAGTCCGCGAAGTGAGAATACAGGCGCTCGTAATACCTGTGCCCTGAGTTTGGGTCTCATTCTTGTGGTCATTATTATTGCTATTTATCTCTGAAATTAATTTCTATTTTATATTCATTTCTATTGTAAATGATTTCAAGATTTGTTTATTTAATGATTTTATACTCAATTTATTGATTACTTTACGAATTCAAAGTCATATATATTTCTTATAATTAATTAAATGTAATATTATTTGTAATTAAAGTATTTATTAATTACTATTTGAATCATAAATCCGTAAAACAATTGAATATAATATTTGTTTTAAAAGCTAATCATTGAGTCACTGATGGCTGACAACCCGAGCGGACAGTTGTGTCATATTTCTACTTAAATATAAATTTTGATATTTTAGAGAATATTCTGAAAGATTTTGTACAATAAAGTCATCATTTGATTAGACTATAGGTGCTAATCAATAGTTAATTATTAAAAAATTCACAATAAATTCCAAAAAACAAAATGCATTTTATTTACTAAAAAGTTATGACATATTCTACACAAAAGTTTGTAAAAAAGTTTGTTATAATGATTTGCTTTGTGGGTTAGGTATGGCAACGGGCGCTGAGTCTGGTCTCAACACAAACTCCTGACTCCCGGCTATATTCACTGCTCTCACGGGCACCGGGCTCTTAGTAGTCCTACTTTTCTTAAACCGCTTTATATCACTGTTTTTGTAAACTTTTCCCATTTTCTGGTCGATCAGAGATAAGTTGTTTTTCTCAGTCGACTGGTCGTCCGTCTCGTTCACATCATTAGCCCTCAGCAGCGCCTGTCGTTTGTGTGTTAAGCCATTTATTGGCACAGGTTTTGAATTCATTGGGGAATAAGAAATAGGCCAACAGAGCACCGGTACAGCACAGGGCTATCAATGCCATGAGTACGATGGCGATGATGATCATGACATTCATCACTCAATGGTCTAGTCTTAAGCTATCAGTTGATCCAATAGTATCAGGACTTGAGATATATTTATACAATTAAACGGCTATTGAATTGCATTGAAGTTCAATACTAACAGTCAAACAATTGCTTTGTGAATGAGATTCAAATGTATTTTCTTATCTCGAGTTTATTAGGACTTTGTTATCGCTATTGTATTTGTATTTATGGCTTATTTTACATTATATTACACAACATATAATTAAAAACTAAACTTTCTTACAAGATATAATCTAGGTAACAATTTTGATGAATTTATTAATACGTTTACAAACTTTTAAATCATAAATTATGATTCATAATAAATACCAGAATTTTATGTCTCCATATGTTTTACATACAAAGCTATATGTAATGCAAGAATCAGTAGTAATGACAGCAAATACTCTAATCGTGTAAATCGCGTGTAAATCAACAAAATATACAAAAACAAATATAAATTCAAATAAAACACAAAAATCAAAATCAAATAACTTTTATCCCAAAAACCTGACATCTCTTGTATTATCCAATGGAACCGATCGCTAGCAGAAGTCATCAAAACGAGAAGGAAATGGATGTAGACTTGTGTCCATCGCTTGAATCCGCTGATCGCACGAAGACTGGGAAAAGTGGTAAACGAGAAGTGAGTCTGAAGTCCATATTGAGTCCAACGGCGCGACGAGTAGTGACCAGACATTCAAAGTCCAGAAAATTACTGAAATGGAGATCCGGTGCACAGATTGAAAGCATTCGCTATTTCCACGCAAATCAAAGTAAGGTGTGCAGTCTGTACGAGAATCAGCCGATGCCTCGAAAGCTGGTCACCGCTAACATGACCCGCGATATCGTGAAGCAGTCCAACAGTCAGACTCCGACCCAACGTTTCGCGCAAATACAGCAAACGCTGGGAAAGGTGGCCAACGAGAGCCGGGACCTAATGACCAGCTTTGGCGTGGGTTTGGGCGTCGGCTTACAGCCCATTCACTTGAAGGGACGGGTGTTGAAGGCGCCAACCCTTGAGGGCTCCATAAAGAGGGTGAAAAGTAGCCAACCGTTGGAGCGGTATTTGTTTTTTGTGAGTACGGAGCTTAAGAACGTTAAGGAGTTGATGACCACCTTCTTTGGCAAACTCGTGAGGTATGGGAACGGTATGGGCATCCGTGTTAAGCCCCTGACCACCACTGGTCAGCCACTGGAGCTCAAGTTCTGCGCCTATAAGGGCATCGATGATATCAAAAAGGCCTTCAGTATCGCCAAACCCACCACTCAATTGATATTCTTCGTGACTCCCGGCACTGGTGTTGTCTATAATGCCATCAAATACTTTGGGGACGTCGTGCACGGCATACCCACACAGTGTATACTGTATACGCACTTTATGAGGACCCCCAGCGGTTACTTTGATAACCTGTTGATGAAAATCAATGCCAAAATTAATGGTCAGAATCAGGTGTTGATCCCAACGGACAGACCCTCGGCTATAGTGTCCGGGGCGGGAGTCACAGCCCGTCGCACAATGGTTGTGGGCGTGGATGTGACACATCCGGGCACTAATCCGTTGGCTAATGAGCGGGTGGTGTCGTCCATAGCGGCATCGGTGGCCAGTTATGACCCGGAGTTCAGCAAATTTGGGGTCACTATTGCCGGACAACCATTGAATACAGAGATTATCGCCAATTATGACGATATGTTTGTCACTCATCTCAAGACATTTATGGCCAAAAATAATGGAAATTTGCCCCAAAGTGTGATCGTATACAGGGATGGCGTATCCGATGGACAGTTCGCTCACGTGAGGGACAACGAGATCCCATTAATTGGGAATGCATTCAAGCGCCTAAGCCCTGGATTTGCGTTCAAAGTGACGGTGTTTGTGGTGCAGAAGCGACACCACACCAGGCTTATGCCATTTGAAAAGCGCACCGGAAGGGACCTGAACATCCCCGCGGGAACGGTAGTCGACCACACGATTACCAATCCGATGTACAATGAGTTTCACTTGTGTTCACATAAAGGATTACTCGTCAGTATTGTCTGAGAAATGGTTTAGTAATCTATGAATGCATTGATTAGTAGTTTTTATTTAGGATTTAATCATAAAATGAATTTTAAATTAATTATTTGTTTTTGATTGATTTTGCTTTCACGAAAGGGAACGTCACGTCACGGGAAGTACGTCTGCCTTCGAGACGACCACAACCTCTCGGAAGACCAGAAGCAGCAGATGTCGTATTACTTATGCCATACCTACTGCCGGTGCGCGACTCCCATATCGATACCGACGCCCGTAATGTACGCCCATTTGGCTGCCTATAGGGCTAAGCAACACATTGCCGCTCAAAATGATGACTTCGAGTCCAGGGTTAGGGATGAGACCAATGACAGGAAACAGGAACGGGAGGCCAGGAATATCGCCAAACTTAACTCCAGGGCTGCCGTCAATCCCAAGATTATTCTGTTGCCGTATTATGTTTAAGATTTTGGTTTGGATTTGGCTTTGATTTTTGAATTACTTTTTGTTTGATTACAATTCATATGATTATAATTAATGGGATTTTTGGGTTTAGTTATAGATTTTGTGTTACATTTACTGTTTAGTTATTTCCGATTCTTATGAATGATTACATTTTGCGGACGATTAGTGTTTTTTGCTTTGATTTTCATTTTTGTATTTCAATGGATAATAATTTTGGTTTTGATTTAATTCAATTCAATTGTATTTCTTATGATTGCTATTACTATAACTTTGTATACGATTACATTTAATGTTTAATTACTTCTCAAACTTAATAACCAATATTTTGTATTAATATTGATTTGATTATGATTTATGTTTTGGCTTTCATTTATGTATTTCTCTTTGAATGGAAAATAATTTTGTTTATGATTTAAATTCAATTGTATTTCATATGATTATTATTATTATAATTTGATTATTTTTGATATGATTGATTGTAATTGTTCAGTGATATTGTGCTTAATTAAAAGTTTTGAATTTTTTCAATTGGGGAGATTACCGTATAGTTAGAGTAATTAGAAATCAAATTAGTTATAAAAATTAAAAGTATTCTTATAATACAAACTATAATTTAATTTTTCACTATTTGTATGTCAAATATAAGGTAATTAATCATTACTAATTATAAACTTTAAATTGTATGTGTTTCCAAATCTATGTTTATTTGCATTGAATGTGAATTGTAATCAATTCATTGAATGGCAAAAATGTTTTTACTTAGGCTTTCAAATATAAAACATTAAACAATTTCAAATAACTATTTGTGTAACAAATCTCTGAATCCGTGCAAAAATACTGAACACAAAAAGTAGTGATAATTAAGTGTTTGTGTCTTCCGGTGACTCAAAGCTAAGTCTTCGGGAACTACTTCTCAGTCGCCGGTCACTGGAGAACAGACCCATCACTCGACTCAATATATTACCACTTTTAGGACTCCTTTCAATGGTCTTGAGGTCCATTTTACATGCAATGGACGGTATGTCATCACCGGATGTCTGGCACTCATGACTTGAGGTGTCGTCCCTTTGACGGCAATACTGATCCGGACTTTGATTTGCGTGGAAATAGCGAATGCTTTCAATCTGTGCACCGGATCTCCATTTCAGTAATTTTCTGGACTTTGAATGTCTGGTCACTACTCGTCGCGCCGTTGGACTCAATATGGACTTCAGATTCACTTCTCGTTTACCACTTTTCCCAGTCTTCGTGCGATCAGTGAATTCAAGCGATGGACACAAGTCTAGATCCATTTCCTCCTCGTTTTGATGACTACTGCCAGCGATCGGTTCCATTGGATAATACAAGAGATGTCAGGTTTTTGGGATAAAAGTTATTTGATTTTGTTTTTTGTGTTTTATTTGAATTTATGTTTGTTTTTGTATATTTTGTTGATTTACACGCGATTTACACGATTAGAGTATTTGCTGTCATTACTACTGATTCTTGCATTACATATAGCTTTGTATGTAAAACACATGGAGACATAAAATTCTGGTATTTATTATGAATCATAATTTATGATTTAAAAGTTTGTAAACGTATTAATAAATTCATCAAAATTGTTACCTAGATTATATCTTGTAAGAAAGTTTAGTTTTTAATTATATGTTGTGTAATATAAAGTAAAATAAGCCATAAATACAAATACAATAGCGATAACAAAGTCCTAATAAACTCGAGATAAGAAAATACATTTGAATCTCATTCACAAAGCAATTGTTTTACTGTTAGTATTGAACTTCAATGCAATTCAATAGCCGTTTAATTGTATAAATATATCTGAAATCCTGATACTATTGGATCAACTGATAGCTTAAGACTAGACCATTGAGTGATGAATGTCATGATCATTATCGCCATCGTACTCATGGCATTGATAGCCCTGTGCTGTACCGGTGCTCTGTTGGCCTATTTCTTATTCCCCAATGAATTCAAAACCTGTGCCAACAAATGGCTTAACACACAAACGACAGGCGTTGCTGAGGGCCAACCCGCTAATGATGTGAACGAGACGGAGACGGACGGCCAGTCGACTGAGAAAAACAACGTATCTCTGATCGACCAGAAAATGGGCAGAGTTTACAAAAACAGTGATATAAAGCGGTTTAAGAAAAGTAGGACTACTAAGAGCCCGGTGCCCGTGAGAGCCGTGAATATAGCCGGGAGTCAGGAGTTTGTGTTGAGACCAGACTCAGCGCCCGTTGCCATACCTAACCCACAAAGCAAATCATTATAACAAACTTTTTTACAAACTTTTGTGTAGAATATGTCATAACTTTGTAGTAAATAAAATACATTTTGTTTTTTGGAATTTATTGTGAATTTTGTGTATAATTAACTATTGATTAGCACCTGTAGTCTAATCAAAATGATGACTTCATTGTACAAAATCTTTCAGAATATTCTTTAAAATATCAAAATTTATATTTAAGTAGAAATATGACACAACTGTCCGCTCGGGTTGTCAGCCATCAGTGACTCAATGAATAGCTTTAAAACAAATATTATATTCAATTGTTTTATGGATTTAAGATATTATTCAAATAGTAATTAGTAAATACTTTAATTACAAATAATATTACATTTAATTAATTATAAGAAATATATGTTTTGTCTTTCAATTCATAAAGTAATCAATAAATTGAGAATAAAATCATTAAATAAACAAATCTTGAAATCATTTACAATAGAAATGAATATAAAATAGAAATTAATTTCAGACATAAATAGCAATAATAATGATCACAAGAATGAGACCCAAACTCAGGGCACAGGTATTACGAGCGCCTGTACTCTCCTTCGCGGACCACACTCTTCGTCAAAGTATCACAAAACTGATCAACAAATGGATGCCATTCCTCAGACAGTAGACAACCCGTCGGTTATACTCACTCTTATGGTTCACCAACTCATCCAATGGTTGGCACTAATGGACACAAAAACATATGAATAGTCTTCACATTTGTCTCATTATAACGAATAAGTTATATAACAAGTGATGTCTGAATACATACCAGTGCTGTGTCCGTACAGATCCCGTGCTAACTATATGTCTGTCTATCAATGGGTGGGTCTGTCGGGAGTCCGGGGTTCAGATCATCACAAGAATAGCAGATCTCAGACAATAAAAGTATGCCTTTTATGACAACTGAATTCATTGTCTGTCTATTAAACGGATCCCAAGACTGTCACTAAATGTAAACCCAATTGAAGTTCAGATAATTTTAAAGTTCTGTCAAAACTGACGGTTAGTGTGAATTGAATAGCATTTTGAATATTTAAGGCAAATGTTAGCTAATCTCGTGATTAACTTACGGTTCATTAAATCGTGAGATTTACAAAGGATTCAAAAATCACACACTATTTCAAGCATTCGTTATATTCTGTTATAACGACAACTGTTACCACAGTTTTACTCTTATATTATCGACACATATCTCGAAGAATATCTTGAAAAATGCGGACATTTATAGCAGTTATCACGATATGTCTCCTGAATCCCGGCGTCCTATCACTGAACGACACGAATGAGACTCAAGAGGAATATTCCGTGGAATTGG